CAATATCTTGCTTGACCGTTTACGCTATAACTTCGGAACGAATGGACCGATTCCTTCAAAAATTGATTTTGACCATCTTATACATTTATCAATGTTTGTCAAATAGTCAGAACCCCCAAAATCGTCCTCCTTCATGTTGCCGAAATCAGGCCACAATTCACGTTTTATACGTCAATTCCATCGAAATGACACCCGGCAATGCGATCCGTTTGTCCTAATTCACAAAACTCACTAAGTTACCGAAATACCCCCAGATCACCCCGTTTCCCCTACCGATCTACCCCCAGGTACCCAGTACCCCCACCCTAGCATCCCTACTATTATTCTACCATTTTTCCGTATTTTTATCGGCCACCGTTCTATCCCTATTCACCCTACGATCATCCCTGCCCATTTTTCCCATTTTATCCATCCATAACCCAGCCCATTCCACCATATACGCCCTACCTACCCACCCTACCCATTTCCTAGCACCCCTACCCCATCCCCTACCCCCTACCCTACCCCTAGGACCACCCCCATACGCCCTACCCCATCACCCTGGGCCACCCGGCCACCCAGAACCACCCCCCGGCCGCCCCAGTAGCCAGCCCAGTGCTGGCATTTATTATTATTTTCCTGAGGAACCATTGTAAAGGATCCTGTGCTTACTAGCAGGTACCTTTATAAAGGTGGTACATCCTCTGGTGTGATGAATAGATCCTGTCAAATGATCTATTCGTGTCTCCCGGGAGACCGAATAGACCGAAATAGCTAGGTTTAGCCAGATGCGGCCTTGCTGATGTAAGTAAGGGTTCAGACTCGCAAAGAGGAAGATAGTGCATCTTCGACGTCGACTCCCAGGACAAAAACCACGGGTTGGTGTTCCCCGCCTGGATTGCGACCAGAGCGTGCAGCCGAGGATGGTGAGGGTGTGGTCGACGTCGTAGCGGTTTCGGTTGAGGTAGACGAAGGTGCCGGAGGCGTCGTCTTGGTTTACGTAGCGGGCGAAGGCGCGGAGACGTTCGGTGGATTCGATCTACTTGTACGATGGTGTGAGAGGAGATGGAGGAGAGCGGGAGCGGGAAGGGAGAGAGAGGGACGTACGACGGAAGAGCCCCATTGCTCTGAACGAATAGATGTGCTCAGTCAGCCTCGGTGCCACACCTATTCACCGAGAAAGAGAAGAGAAACGCACCCTTATTCCCCGAAACATAAAAAATAAGCCTAAACTTCGTCAACTGCGCCTTAAGCCACACAAACAGCTTCTCGTCCACCGTGCACCCCGTATTGCCTATCAACACCAGGTTTGGCGCTTTGACGGGCAGCTCGTATTGGTATGCGCCTTTGCGCGGGCGGTCGAGCTCCAGGTGGAGGTCGGACACGATTTGGACTTGCATGGCTGTTGAGTGTGAATTGCGTGGAATGTGGGTGATGCGATCGCGGTGGGGATGTATATATGAGGGATTACGATTATTTAGGCGGTCTGGAGGATTATGAAGGAAAGAAAGAGATATGAGCTGGAAAGGATGCGCGTCCGGGATGGCATGGATCCGTCCTAGAATGGGGGTGCGCACGACACAAGACTCGGAGTGGGCACAACAGAAGCTCTACTTGTTACAAAAACAAACAGGCTCGAAACTCAGCACAGCGCACAGGGCAGGCAAAGCGTCAAGTTTAGACGGAGGTGGGTACGCAAATGCAGGACTAAACTCCGTCGTGAGCTGTGTTCTTGGGCCGGCCCGGTGCCTGGGTGGGTCGAGACTCGGGAACGCAACTCGCACCGCACTTCAGACCCAAATTTCGCCGGGGGCAATTTCGTTGAAAGGAGGAATATACGAGCTCTTTCGGTCGAGTAGCTGACGTGGCCTGAAAGTGATGACTATATAGGGACTTTCTGCCCTTGATAACGAGTTAGGGGCAAGTTCGGAGGCAAATCTAATTTTAGACCTCATGTCTCTCTCTCTCTCTCTCTCTTGACTTCTGCTTGACTCTTCTGCACTTCACGCTCGACCACTGTCCCCAACCCAAGCACGACTTCATCCGCTGAGTCATTTCGCCGTCATCTTAAGTGACGTCACCCCACCTGGTCCGTGCGTCGCGGCTCACCGTCAGTTAAAGGCAGCCTCACGCACAGGGCCTTCCCTGGATGGGCCCATCCGTGAAGTTCGCGTATAATCATCCGTAAAAGGGCATCCGTTATCTGTGCAGATGGCATCTGCGCGGATGAGACAGATGGACGGGGATCTCGGGTCGGCTGTCGGCGCGGGGAAAGCGCGGGGTCGTGACAGGAACGCGTCGCGTCGCGCCGTTCTTTCTATTCTCTTCGACATTCTCCGTGTACGATACCTGCTCTTTGCTCAGTCTTTCAGCCGCATATACTCGCCTATACCACTATTTTATACCTAACAAATACTGGCTCTCATGGCTTCCACTGAAAAAGAGAATGCTGCTCCTTCAAACACTCGTTCTTGCTCGGTTACTTTTGCCACCGATCCTTCAGCTCCGTCGATGTCGCCGACACCGTCTATGGCCACACGAAGAGCAAGTGATGCTGGTGCACCGTCTTCGGCATCTGTCCCACCACCTAACAAGAGACGTCGTGCAGAAGGAGGAACAGATATGTGGTACTGGTCTGTGGAGGAGTTGTGGGACATAGATGAGGCAGCAATTCTAGGTGCGTCAATGCTTAACTAATCACAATTGTTTACGGAAAGGCTAACCTTTTATCATAACTCAGAACATTTTCAGAAACACTTCCGAGCAGACCTCAATCACTACAACATCACGGTCAAGAAGGAATCTTCTCCGGCTCGAGACATCACGATTGTTTATACTTGTAGACACGGCGACACGAAACATGCTACTGTGACTCGCACTCGGGATAAGCTCAGGGGTGGGACCGGTAATCTGCATAGCTCTGCTTCGACCTGCGATAAACGCGCTCCCGGGCGCCACCATTCGGCATCATCTGAAGAAACACCTGTATACTCTGAAGCTATGCATCGCGCCATCATCTCTATTCGATGTGCTGCATCAAAGCGGTCTTTCCAATCATTGAAGGACCCGTTGTACCTCCGTGAAGTCCATCTTCTTCGCCCCGGTACTCTTCTGCCATCTCCTCAGACTGGGCAACGCGACTTGGTTCGGCTTCATGAGGGGTTCAAACCTCGTGCTACGAAGTACTTTGTGGTTCGTGCTCGCTATCTCTGCTTCTCCGAGTCCTGCACTCCCTTATGTTGGTTCAGAAACGCAATCGTGATGTACATCTGGTTGCTGATGGCTGGGCTGCGCCTATTCACATCTCCGAGCTTGGCCTTGTGCTTGTATGGGAAGAGAACGGAGTCGTATATCGAGTGCTTCTCGAGATGATTCGGTAATCCTCATGATCCCATTTTCAGACGACCCCAATATATTCTAACATATACTTGTGATAATCTAGGCTAGATAATAGTCACAAGGGTTCCGAGCTTGCGACGCAGATCGCACAGTGCCTCGAGCGCCACGGAATCGCACAATTTGTAAGTGGTGTCAATAGTAATCCTCGTCGTGTCTAAGCTAATTTAAAGCTTATAGGTTCATGTTATCACGATGGACAACGCATCAAACTGCGATACGACGGCCAGTGTCACGGCCGGGCAGCACGGGTCTATGTACCCCACGGCTCAAGACGACTCTCAGAGGAATAAAAGGCGAGTATATTCGGATAAAGGGATAAGAGACAAGGTAGAGTGAATCTAGGAGATGCCCAGGAGTAGACGATCTCGAAAACTGAGTAAATACATGACAGAACTATCTACTATATATACTACAGCTCGCCTAAGCCTCTGTCCTTCCGAGGCGACGAAAGAAACAATAAATGATCAGTACTCTAAGCTACTATGACTGACCGGCCTTGAAGGATGAGTAAGACGAATGCCAAGCAATGTACACTACTCTGAACACTAAGTAAAGCATGCAAAGGAAATGTAGCATGTAAACAGAGGTCGCCAGAACAAGACGAGAGTTTACAAAGCGAGACAAAGGTTATGTACAAGGTAAAACATTCAAGAGGACAATGGACACAAAGTTGGCTGAGTAAGATCGTGGACTACGGAGTAAGAACGGCTGATAATATTCTTCAGGCACCATAGATATGTAGGGGAGACCTATAGCTATCCGACGATACCAAATACTCGAAATATGACTGGATACTAGGCGAGAAACATGAGGAGAACTGTTATCAGATGGCCCTGACTTAAGTTCCCTCTAAGTTTCGCTACACCGGAGCGAGTTCACACTCGATCGTCGAGTAAATGGGCTCGAAAGAAAGGTATGAATGTGTAGTACATTCTAGGATTTTATTCTGAGTGATTTGGTGGCCTGTAGCCCTCTCTAGCCGCATAGCAAGGCGAGCAGAAGGCAGGGGAAGCGGAGTTTGAAACGTTCTACAGGAACCGGCAGTTCGGTGCGACCTTCCGGTGGTGCGCCTCGACTGGGATCGATGACTGTATGTGCCTCGAATAAAATCGCAGAAATGCCGAGGAAAATATAGAGAGACTCTCTGATGTCATAGCTTCGTTTGGGTGCCAACCATATTGGGGGTTGTTTGGAGAAATGTCTCCGAGCGAAACTTTTATGACTTCGGAAATGCAAGCGCAAGTCTCTTGACTACGGGTTCCTCCGAGATGTTTCTCACGCGTTCTGAGACCACTCCCTCTCGAGTAGAAAGGCCAGGGAAAATCGTATAAATGGTGGATAAATTCGTGGAGGGTCGTATGAGTGTATGGATAATTGTAGAGCATCATGTCCAATTATCTTTGGGAGTGATTTGGCCGTAAAGTCGTAAACCTCGAGTTGCACTGATGAAAGTCCCCATGCAGAATGTTCCTTAGTCGTCTCCTAGGTCTGGAGAGTGCTAGAAATATTCAACGGTGGTCTTTGGGTGTTCATAGTACTCTCTAATGTTGGGACAGGTCATGAGGTAGGTCATACGGTGTGTGGAACCGGAAAATACAACGTGTCACCATGTACTTTGGTCTAGGAGGTGCAGTTGTGTCTGCAGACGAAGTAACACAGTAAAAGCAAGGGTTTTGGGTTGGTAGTATATCATGGCGGCTCGTACAGGTCGTGATAAATCATAAGAGGTTGTACCCTTAGTAGTGCGGCGATTGATAGTCAAGTATAGGGGTGTCCTTTTCTTGGAGATGACTTGTACAAGTGCTCGCACTCCCAAGGGTGAGTAGAAATGATTGAAGGAGTGTTATCACGAGCTTGGACCCAATCCTAATATCACGCCGATCTTCGGAAGTATGCCCAGGCGGAAATCGAGTTCGTA